GTACTTGGGGCAGTCCAATAGAAAATGAGACACTGATTCAATTCCAGTTGAGCAGACAGGGCAGCAATAATGAGAAGTATCAGAGGGGTCATTCCGCCGGCTACGGCTGAACTTCCCTGTTTGACGATCCGGGAACTAGCAAATGTGGCAAACAGCACGTGAAGATCACTGTGATGTCACGAACTGAACCTGGGTCAAGCCAGAGTGGGCGTCAATGCAGCGCAGGTGACTGGTGACACTGGAGGGTCATCAGCCAGACCTTCCAGTTGAGCAGGATGCGACCGTCATCAAGCTTAGAAATCAGCTCTGTGAGCAGTGGCAGATGCTGCAGTGAAAGGGGGTATGGTGCATACGCAGGAGCTGTTGGCTGCCTGTATGCACGTGGCCCACGCATGGCGAGTGGGCCCCACGCATTCCCCAAGGCCCTGACCACAGTGCGCCTGCATACAGTGAATCTGAGAGGCCTTTGGCGTTCGCTATAGCCGTAGTGAATGTTCGCTATGGCGGGGTGGATTTGTGTGGCGAGCGATTGGGGGTAGCGGCGGCGTTCGCTGTAGGCAGGGTTTTCGCTATTGCGGGGTGTGCTGTAGCGGGGGAAGACTGTAATTGGGCCCTGCCGAGGGCCCACGCCAAGGATCGCAAGGGGCCTGCCGAGGCCACGGGGGCGATGCATGGCGGGTGCTGACGCGCGGGGCGGCGGGTCCTGGCTTTTTGCTGCCGGGCTCGCGCTGCGGTGGTCGGTCCTGGCGTGAGGCTGGGGTGTGGAGGGAGGGCTGTCACTGGATCGCCCCGGCTTTGGAGGGGCCGCACCCTGCTGTTGCCTGGCTGGGGGCCGCCTCACAGGCAAGGCGGGGGGGCGCCGCGCCGCGGGGATGCTTTAAGACATGTGGCCTCATGCTATGTCTGAGAAAAAGCGTTGCGCGGGTGGGTCACGACAGCTGCTGCCTCGCGAGTATGGGGGCACGGCTGCAACAATCCCCGGAAAGCACAGCCATTCATTGGTGGACTGGGATGCCAAGTGGGCGCGAGCTACTCAACGTGATCTGGAGCCTAAAGGGACCGGCAGGCGGGCTAGGGCTCCATCCCCCCCCCCCCCCACGTTGCCCCTGACATGCTACAACCTGTCATGCATGGTCATCACAAAAGGGCCCTGCTGTTCGAGGCCCCTCTGCCCCCTGCTGGTTTCCTGCTCAGCCTAATCACAGGTTTACGCTTGAAAGTGTCTGCCTGTGCAAGATTGCGTTTTGCATACAGCTTTTGGGCGTGCTTGGTGAGGGGATCGACCGGCGCACTGTTATCAAGGCACAAGGGGTGCCAATCGTGCTGGTGGGTGGGCTTGTGGCAGGTGGTGGGTGTGTGTGATTGAGGCATCCATGCTTTCACACGCGCCCGCCAATCATAACCTGTGTGCGTATGCACTCGTACGTTGGGCGGGCGGCGGCGGCGGTGGGTCGGACGGCGAAAAGGCGGACATGCAGGGTGCACTGCCACAAGCACGGCGCCGGGAAATATGGGTCGGGCGGCTGGCATGCAGAAGTGGTCATAATGGCTTAGATTTTCCTGCGACAAGAACGCAAGGCAAGCCGCGTGCAGATGGCCAGTACCGCAGCCGCGATGCAACAGCTAGGTGGGCAGGCGCCAGCAGAAGGCCGCTGGTCGGCTCGCGCAGGCCGGTGATGGCGCGCTCTTATTAGCCGCCGGCGTGCCCTGCGCCGGCAGCCTCCCTGGGGCCCAGCGGCGCGCGCGCCAAGCCAGCCGCGGCGCGGCTGGCGGCCTCGAAACCACCGCCGCCGCCGGGCCAGTGGCAGCGCGCGCCGCATGGAGGCACCTGCCGCGCAACTGCACTTGCCGCGCATCACACGGCACAAGCAGCACCCCATGGTGCTCCCTCCTCTCCTCCTCCTGGAAATCCCCACTGACGCCACCCCCCTTGCCTCCTCACAATTCCACCACCACGCCTCATGCACCCTATATAACCCCGCTAGACACCTGAGCTCGCCGCCTCCCCACTCCCCTGCGCCGCCTTCTCGCCCTTGCCAGCCCCCGCCGCGCCGCCGCCGCCGCCGCTCTCCGCGCCCTCCCCGCCTGCGCCAGGCCCCTCGCCACCGCCGCCGCCGCCGCGCTGCAGGCGCACCACGATCGCCGTCATGTTGTCGCAGCCGACGCCGCGCGACTCCTTGGGGTCGCTGGCCAGGCAGGCGTCCAGCAGCTGGCTCGCGCTCTCTGTCGGGCTGGCGCCCTGCGCCAGGCGGGCGCGCAGGAAGTCGACGGCCTCCTGGTTGGTCATCACGTCCCACACCCCGTCGCAGG